TTGATAATTTTACCACCCTTTTCTTATAAGGAGATGATGGGAAAGGGAAGTGGATTTAATGGTGGAGGAGATGCGTAGGCAACGCATCAGCAATTGTGGATGTCTATGGGCAGCGGTCGCTTCGCCATTTTTTCGGATTCAGGTGGCCGCTTGCTCGTTTGCCACATTATGTTATAAAAAAAAAACTTTTTTATCCGAAAGTTAGTGCTTGCAGGTGGGTCCCATTTTTATGTTTGATTTTTTTATAATTGTATTACAGCGTCGTTCAGTATCTCCAGTGGAACGTGAACAGAAATACCGCGCGCGTTCCTCTGAACCCGAGCCTCTAGAGGCGAAGCGACGTAAAGACGAGAAGGTACTCGCCCATGTGAGTCTGTGCAGTGTATGTGTCGCTTACTCTACCCTGCCCGCTAGTACCCTACCCTGCCTACCCCGCAATGCGCTTCCGCTATAGTTAATTCAAATAAGAATGTGCCAAAAGTTGACAATTACAAGAAAATTATGGATTTTATCGTTTTGATTTTAATATTTTTTTTATTTTCCCTGTTTTATTGTTTTTTTTTTTACTTTGTAATTATTAAGTCATATGTGCATTCTTATTTGAAACGTCGCAATAATAATCACGACTAGTTTGAAATTTGGTACAGAAACTTTCCTAAAAAAAGCAAAATTTTGGATGGATGGATGTTTTCTTATCTCCAAAACGGCCTAACGAATTTCGGTGAAATTTCTACAAAATGAAAAGACAGATCTACTCTATCTTTCAATTCTGTGCAGACGAAATCGCGTGCTAAAGTTAGTAAACGTAATAGTATAGCTTCTAAACGCTTATTTTCTCAAATTGCTTATAAATACGCAATTATTAGATTTATATTGATAATTAACAACTGACATATGAATTATACTTCTAGGACAGCGATGCCGAAAAGAGCGATCAGGATTTAGTTGTAGATGTTGCTAATGAGGTAAGTTAATAAAAACAATATCTACTCTATCTATATCTATATTCTATATTCTATATAATATTTTTAGGTATTTCGATACAAATGATTAAAAAAAAATATAGACGATCGGCCAAATCAACAATACTTGTTAATTGCTTTAAAACTAACACAAAGTCAACTACATATGTAAAGATATCGAACGTTCCGTGGTGACGACTAGAAATGTACTCAGCTATTGAGCTTCTGAGCGAATAATGGACTGTCGGACCGAGCCCTGTGAGACTCCTTGCAAGTGTTTTATAAAACTACCCCCCACTTTTCCTACTATTTCCTAACAATATAATAAAGCGTAAACACAAACTACTTTGTGACGTAAGATGTCAGCAATCACAGCATATTTTTGAATACATCTTTCTTTAATAAAAAACCCTTCACTAACGTCACGCTTTAGATTATATATTGTCACGCTATTAAACTAAGAGGGTAAATAAATTTAATAAAAACGCATATGTGGGAATCATAAGCTACAAGCTGCCAACATCAAGGAAGTTAGATTGGCATAGTTTGTCATCAAGTCATGTCATTTTGACATTTGCAGTTAATAATTTGACAAATGTAAACAATAAAATAAGATTTTCATAAATTCATGCTGATGAGGCCACACGGGAACAGCTAGTTTCTTATAAAGTTTTAGCCCTTTTTTCCCTTCTCATCCTTTCCTTATAAGAAAAGGGTGGGAAGAAAGTTATGTAGAAAGAGGATTACATTCTTTCTGTGCTTCCCTCCGTCATATGGGCAATTCATTTACAGACACCGGTTCGCTATTTCGGCGAATTTAAGTGGTTGCGTATTCGTTTGCCACCTTATGATATAATTATTTTTAATTTATTCATAAAATGTTATTTATATTAGACATCTAATGTATATTAGTTTTGTATTTGTTTCTAATATGTAAATTAATATTTCCAGGAAGAAAGAGGGTCTCCCAGTGTACGTACAGAAGGGGGGGAGAGGACAGAGAATGGACCCCGACCCCCCTCCAGGTCAGGCTCCTCTTCTAGTCGGTCAACGCCTAAGAGTTCTAAAGATGTAAGTGATACTTTTGTTAATAATGTTTTTAAATTGTTTATTTGTGAGGTAAATTTTAATCTTTCCCTTTCTACCCCTTATATGGGTAGGATGGGAAGGAAAAGTAGATTTGATAGTGGAGACGCATAGGTAAGGTAAATACTATCTTAATGTACTTCGTCCGTCCATATAAGGTAGACGACGCATCCGCTAGTGCGAATGTCTGGGCAGCGGTCGCTTGCCATCTTATGATATGTATAAAAAAAATGTAATCCTTAGAAAGATCATCATCACCCATGCCTTATCCTACTCCCGTCCTTTTCGTCCTCCAAATAACTATATCATACGTCATCTCAGTCATCACTCCCTTCTTGATCATGTCACCTTTTACGCAATCCATCCATCTCGTCCTAGGTCTACCTCTACCGATGTGTCCTTCCACACTCATAACTAACCTTCCTGTTACATGCGATTCATCCCTTCTCATAACATGCCCATACCACACTAATCATTTATTTCTTATTTTCTCTACTACTGGTTATACTCTCAAACTTCCTCTAATCATTTATCATTTAAATATTATAAATGCGAAAGTCACGATATATGGATGTTTGTTAGCGTTTGTAGCCTAAACTGCTGAACGGATTTCCATGAAATTTGATACATGTTTAGAGTATAGTGTGGAAGAACACATAGACTACTTTTTATCCCGGGAATAGTTACGGTTCCCGGGGGATTCATTAATTTAATGTTTACTCTTTCATTCTGCAACGGTTCAATATATCTTATTGAAATTTGGCACAGATATAAAACAAAGCCTGGAGTACACATGGGATTAGAGTTCACCCCCGAGAAATGTCAGGTTCTCGAGGGATATGTAACTTTTTGTTATTTCTATAGTTCGTATGTTTTCTAATACCACGCGGACGAAGTCGCGGGCAACAGCTAATTAGAAAGATGCCGTAAATATTTGATATACGTGTTATTAATATAAATAATGAGTTGTACTGGTGTGTCAGGAGAAGCCGGGCACGCCGGGCGGCAAGGCGCGCGCGCCGACGCCGACGGGGCGGTACGCGTTCCCC